CTGAAGTAGCTTGTCCTGTCATTTGATACATCCTGCTTTTTTGCTCAATTTTCTGAAGGTTCTTTTTGCATCTGGCTTTTCTGTTACTCCTGTCTTGCTTTCCTACTGCTCGTTCCCAGGCTTTCAGATGACTTCTTTGAGTTTCAGCTACTAGCCTTTAGATGAGAAATATTACCAAAATTAGTATAAATAAAGTATATATTTAAATAGTTTGATTTTTACAGTTATAAATAACCACTTAAAACTTTTTTTTTTGCCATTTGCCCCAAAATTCCTTCTACAAAATAAATAATAATAAAATCATTGTAGAGAGATGTGGAAGTCTGAAAGAGTCTAGTAACTTGAAGATACGGCTAATCCTCTCTAGTTTGGGTACTGCGACTAGGAGTTAACGTGCTTGGATTTTTTCAGTCTGTTACTAAAACCGGCAGGAAAGTTGTCAGTTTTAATAGGAAGAAATTACACTGTGTGTGGAAATGGCCTTTGGAAAAAGAAATCATTTATATGTCCTGTTTCTAATGCACTAGGAATTCCTGATATTTAACAGAAAAAGAAAAAGCTCCAGAACCCCCCCCACACACAAATTCATAGTAGTACAGTGCTCAAATATATCTATCATCACGAGCTGCGGTTTTGAGTTTTTTACCACTCTGCTACCTGTTTCAGGCAATAATCAGCACATTCTGAAATAACAAGAAGTTATGAATTACAGCAATCTTCAGCACCTACAAAATGAAGGATAAGCAAAGAAATACATGCATATAAATTGAATCTATATCCCCCACTGCTTTGCTTTATCAAGTTGTTGCTCTGCGTTATTGCTATTTAGCAATATAATGCTTTTTTTCTAGGTAATGCATCACGACAGTTCTAGGTTTTTGCAGAAATAACTCCAGTATAAAAACCTCCTGTCTTTATTTATTCTACTTTTTAAAAATTCTAAAGCATAGTTGCTCATGTGTGATTTTGAACACTTTCTTGTGCACTTGTTCCCGTTCAGGTGCCTAGTCATACGTACTACTGACACAAACACGTGATTTCAGAGTGGCCTGACCGGTTTGGTTAGTGTACGAAATCTCTGATCCTCTCTGCAACTCCAGAGAAGTTTGGACAGATCTGTTATAGGGTGTAAGTAGTTGTGACAAAGGGTAACTAGGTATTTGTGACTACAAAAACAATCATTCTTATCAGCAAGTATTGAGTCTAAAATGACAAAGAGCTGAGCAGTGAAGCGACAGTGGTGAGATATTTGTGTTTTACATAAGAGAGAGTGTTTCAAAAATCATTTAAATTAGAATGGAAATCTGAAGGGTTTTCAAGTTTTGGAAAAGAAGAAAAATGGAACTCATAGACAGAAACAGGACTCTCCTCTGAACATCACATCTTCCTATGCTTAGAATTTTTCAGGAAAATTTTATTTAACCTGCAGAGACAGAATTAAAAATTTTTGATGAAATAGTGTAGCTTTGAAAACTGTCCCATAGCTTTTCAAGCTGAAAAGCTTTCAACTTTCAAAACTACTGTAGATTAGCAAATCTGCATACAAAGGAATCATCATATTTTGATTTACAAAAGACATTGAATTAGCAGTTGACAGGTACATCACGTTACACCAAGACAAGCATACACAATTGACCATCCTATCTTTTCAAAGTGCAGAAAGCATGACAAAATGCAAATATAACTAAAGAAAATCCACTAAGCTAAATTGCACAGCAAGTCTAAATAATAAGATTTCCTCTAAGCAAAAAGGAAGATTTCCTAAATCTTTTGTCATTTACCTTTTTGTTTATAGACTAGAAGCATGCATACATGATCAAATGGGAGATCATTAGATCCTTCTGGGCCCAAAAAAGACTCAGCGGACTTTACAATTTACTATTGTAACTACCTGCTAGTGGAGTTCTGTCAGGCTGGTAACAACATTTGATGTGCAGTTGTTTTCACTGGGATGGCCCAGGTGAAAGAATAACAAATACAGTGACATGCTCCTTTATAATATAAACACATTTCAAAAGAAACAATTCAGTACATGGATTGGTCCAACTTGTTCATGTTATCAGTGCTTCAAAAACCAGAAATAATGGGATCTGAATATGGGGCAGGGCACACAGAATTTTTTTTCATATAAATTTAATCCAATAAACGTTGGCACATATCAAATATTTCTAAAGAGTTAAGTAGCCCTTAAAATAGCATTACAATGCAATATTAACGCAACAAGAGGTGTAATCTAATATCAAATGCATCATCTAAATCCAACATTAAATACAACTTTATAAATAGTACAGCGTTCTTCACGTTCTTTACTAAGTTAGAAAAGTAAGACACAGCAGCTAAGAAACTTAACGCAGTATCACGCTGTAAGTTACTGGCAGAAGGTGAAAGAAGATGCAGATTCTTATTCTCGTTATTACACAGATGGCACATTTTCTATGGCTAATATTGTGAAACAACAATTGTATGCTAGAACTAAGTTAAGATGCTCAGGGCAGTGAGCTCCCCCTGATTTTCTGTTTGGCAAAAGGACATTAAGTACTCATAAACATGCATTTCAATTGCTTGTCCTTTGTATAAAGAGAAATATGTTTTTTTTTCTGCATAATAACAGAATAAAGTTATGCATACATAGTGTCTAAAGAGATGAAACTATGCTTTTTCTGCTTTTCTTATATCCAGCCATATGTTAATGCCTTCTTTTTAATACAATCAGATACAGCGTTTCTAAAAACAAGCCTACGTAATATTTTAAACATGTTTTTCTGGTTGCAGAAAATCTGTTTAAATCTCTCATAAAAAAAGAAGTCTGAAAATCAAGGCTTTCTTCTACATTCTTCAGACAGCTAGCTGCAAAGCTGAGAGATCAGATTCTTCTTAAATCCCTCAGTTCTTCATTAACATACATGAACATCCTCATTCTTTCCTTTTTCCGGCGTCTTCGTGTATTTATTGTATGTTATGATTCTCCGTATTTTGCCATTTCCTCCTGGAAGGAAACAACTGCTCATAAATACTGCAAATACTACATATTGCCTTGGGACATGTCACATAAAATGCTTTTCAAAACAAGTTGTTCTTATCTACTTTGCATTTGCAGTTGCTTTGCATGCTGCGCAGGTTGATTTATAGGCTAAATGAAATAACTGAGACTGCATTGCCAAGTCAGGGAGAAACTGTAGGAAGAAACTAGATGGCAACAAAAGCAAACTTCCCATAGCAATACTTGACATGCCCTTTATCAGCTTAGGTCTTGCTAGAAAAGGGGGCAGTATGCAACATTGAAAGGGAAGAAATACAAATGCATCCTCAGTAAAAACGCTGCACTAACTTGTACTGAATGAAGGCCTGCTTCTATATAAAGAATAGGACAACAACTTGACTTCTTATATATAGGAATCACAGAGAAAACTAAGAAGTACTCAAGCTGTATGTATGCAGGTTTAAAAAAAAAACATTATTTAAGATAAATCCTAATATGTTTCCTTCTAAATGCAAAGGGTTTTTAAGTGTTATTGCACTGGAAGAGAGAAGTACAGATCATCATCACTGTTTACATGGTTTATTTTTACGCCCATAAAAACAGTGGAGGAATTAAGAAGGAGTAAGAGGCACCTTAGGATGGATAGAAGAGGAAAGGAGGATGAATTATTCCAAGCGCTGACTCTGCAGCCTATACCTACAATTATTTCTTCCAGATGTAGCACGAAGCAGGGAGACTTGAAACTCCACCTGCTCATCACTGTTGCTCCATGCCTGGCATAAGAGTGTTTTCTTCAGGCCTCTAAGGACCTCCCTAAAACATAGCCTTGTTACGTACCCATTGCATTGACTCTAAACATCAAAGCACTTCCCCCCACGCCTCACACACTTATCTTAAAATAAGATTTCCGTATTTGTTTTCAAGAATTTTCCTTACTGAAAGTTACAAATACAGAAACCGTTCCTTCAAACATAGCACAGGAAGGACTAGGAACCTGACATGATTAGATTAACCAGACGTTTAATATACACAGTAAAAGACGAATACAGAAGACATGCAAGAAAATTATATGCATCTGATTTGCTCATGACATTTCAGATGAAGTGAAATGCAGCGCACAGTCATTTCCCTCACGACCATCAAGAACTTTTAGAGCGTCTCACACCAGCCTTGAACATATCTGAGAAACTTTTTTCTTCTGGAAACTATGCCTCAATATATTGTCATTGATTAAACAGAACAAAGTGTTGAAAAGCATATTCCATGTCGTATTCTCCATTAGTAACAGACTAGACTTTAATATAAATCCATTCATTGCAATTTGGGATTATTCGGTGAATGGAAGAGAAACACAGCTCATAAGTTTGGAATTAGTGGACTAAGTTAATCAGCTTTCCCCTTCAGAGGCAAATTCTGATTAGATTAAGTTATGAGCATGGTAATTTATTGTGAACTTGCTTCTTCTAAGCGTTTAGCACAAGATTCAATAGTTTAACTCAATAATTAAGAATCAGTTTCACACAACAAAGCCACATCAATTTAGTTTGTTTTGTGAAAAAGGCATGTATCATCTCACCCAAACTCCATCTGAAATTGCCCATATGGGCTATCTTATATCAAGCAGAACAACAGGCTTGCCACATTTGACAACAGCCTATACAAGAACACAGCCAGAGCAGTCTCTGCCTCTTGTTGCCAAGGCTTTCGTAGTTCCCTTACACTGTAATTCAACAGTTCACTTCATTCTGCAGTCAGATGTTTAGCCCCATAGGGTAGCTTTGCACCTATATGATCTATTTTGCAATATGCCTGTTAGATATCTTGTAAAATTTTATCACAATTGTGTAACTTCTAAGAAATTTCATTTACAAAGTTTTATTTCCCTTTATTGTTATAATTAATTCCAAAAATCCTAATATAAGACAAAGAACTTTCCAAACAGGGAAGGAAAAAGACAAATCCTCTAAGAATCTGCCTCAGAGATGAAGGTCTTAAGAGAGAATTAACTAGGAAATAGAGAGCCTCAGTGTCACATTGAATTTGGCCACGACGATGGAAGCAGCCTGTATCTCAGAGCATATAAACTTTTGTTTTACAGGGTCTGCCTAACTTATTTGCCAATCTCTGGGTAGAATTGAAGAGTCTAACTGATGAAGCCTCACATGATATGAGACAGGAACTATCAGTCTTCTTGCACTGTACTATCACTACTGCGTTCAGTATAGTTACCTAAAAGCTAGATTCTCTTTATTACAACAGAGACAGGGAAGGAATAGGGTATTTTATGATGCTATCAGGATTCTGGAATTAGATTTTCCTTTTTAAGCATTCAGAAAGCATCTAATAAACTTCTGTCTGAGATGGTTTTTGCAGAGTACTGAAGTTTGATGGAATGGAAAGTACCCTGCACACATCTAACTGGTTGAGATGTATTAAAATGAATCAATGAAAATTCTTGTGATTTAATTGTATTCTCGAATTAACATCTTTAAGTGCTTAAAGCTTGGAATTCTGTCGTTTCAAATCTAGATGAATACCAATAACAGATAATGTACTTATAAAGCACAAAGAAATTTTTACTGGACAATTACAATTCCAAAGGACAGAACTTAGCACACTTGTACTGGTGATTTCCTCCTTAGAAGCAGCATGCACTTTCAATGTTGTGGGAGGCTTCAGGTGTTGACTTACAGATACAGACATATATAGGTGGAGGAATTTGTTACCGTCCCCAGCTATCCCTCCCTTCTTCTGAAGGCTGTTTTTCCCTGAAGCAGGTAAGGCTGAACCATGCACAAGAGTTCCTGAAATGCCAGTCCAACATACTAAGCTAATATGAACATCTGTACTAGTTTATTGTAGCACAACAATGGGAAGCTCTAAATTATGGCAGTATATGAGCTGTTTCACACAGAGGTTACCCACCCCTGCTGCAAAACCTGCAATCTTCTGATAGGGGATAGGGCACATACTTGAAGGCAGTAACTGGTTTAGCTGTTTGTCTTTAATCCATTGTATGCAAATCGAGATATTCAGTGAGTCACAGCAATGACATGACTTACAAACAAATTGGCAGAAAAAATATATACATCTTTGTCAATTATAAAACTCCGCTTTTATTATGTCTTAAATACAATGAATTGCATTCCAGGAAGCATAAACTGGGAAGGCAAATAACATATATGAGATCAACATAGAAAAATCATTAACAGAGCACTCACTCAATCAGGTCACCACTAGAGATCCACCTCTTTAAAATGTTTTTCTGACCAAACAATCCTCAAATTGATGAGAGCAGGTAGGACAAGATTTTCCAGATAGGTAATAGGCAGGAGACAGAAACTATACTTAAGAGGAAGCAGATGCTCTGAGTAGACAGCGAGACTGACCGACTAGCAAGATAACAAGGCTTCAGAAGCACGGACAAGAGAAGCACAGCCTGAGAACACTTTAAAAAAAAAAAAAAGTGAAATTGGAGGGATGAAACGGCTAAATACTGTAATACCTCATTGTTTTAAAGTTTCTGTGGTTACACAAATCCTAGGGTAAACATTTATTCCTTACTTTTCTGTTGTGTTTTTCTTGAATAGAGAATTAGAAACTGCCAGCTTACTCCACCAGCAAGTAGCAGACTCCTGAATTCCTAATACCTACTTCAAGTCTACACTGTGAGCCTGGGAGCACGCTCAAGAGACCCAGAGCTACAAACTTACTTTCCCTTATCCACAGGAGCAAACGACTACTTTAAACAAAAATGAACAACCGTCCATATAGATAAGTGTTAGCGCAGGTTGCGGTGAATTTAGGATTACATAGATCCATTGACAATCAGTCTATAGAGGAATTTTGTAAACTGAGTTGTCACTCAGGGAAGTTGTTTTCAAGGAGTAAAATCTATGAAACTCAAATAGTCTGCCAGATCAGTTTAACACACCACACTGAAACATTTTGCTGCTTATCCCCATTTGCAAAATCTAACATTTACATCACTATCTTACTTCACAAAGAGTCTCTGATATCATTTAAGGTACTTGCATGAGTATATTTCCTTTTGAAGTCTTTTTTAAAAGGACCTTTATAAGAAAAATTAGAAACCATGCTATAATATTGTAGCATTTCTTAAAACCTCTGAGGAATAAATGAGTCTCTCTTCCTGGCAATACAGAAACCCTGTCTCTTGTGCCTGGAACTATTGTTTAACATTTCCATTAGTACAAATGCATTTGTTTTACCAATGATCATCTAATATTTATATACTCCCAGTTAAAAAAAAAAAAAAAAACTAATCCTACTAATTCCTAATTAACATTTTCATATCAAAGCATCTCATAAGTTATACCAACACACGCACTAACAAATCACATAAAGTGATGCTTAGCACAAAGGACCTTTGTTAACTGCAGTATTATACAGTGGGCTGGTACTAACATGGAACGCAGGAGTAAGCTAGTGCAGAGCATATAACACCACAGAGACTTTTATGATGGAAATAATTTTTAACTCTTTGCAGAGGAAAAATGGAGGAAAAGAGAATATCTTCCAGATCAAAGTATATCCAATCATTTCCATCAGCTTAGATTCAGCAGTGAGAATGACTCCTGAGTAAACTCAGATCAAGTATGTCAATTTTGTAGTCTGAACCTATTTTTCTTAAGCATTATATATGTAAACCTTTGGGATGAAATCCTAATCCCCTTAAAGACCTAACTAGTAAACACCTACAAAATACTAATGAGCTGTCATCACTGAGTTCCTCATTAAAAAATGCATATGTCATAAATCAACTGAAAAATATGGGCCTCAGAATATTGCAATTAATTTAAACTAGATTTTCTTAAAAGTTTCTGGCAAACACATTTTTAGTCTTTATAGGATATGAAACCCTTATGTAAGAACTTAACAGAATTTCTGAGGCTAGCACAGTCTGCTTATACAAACTTGTTGCTGATAGAGCCTGGTTATTACTTGCTCGCATGTCTGCTGATTTCCGAATCATCCACTCTTAAATCCTTCACTACTGACAACATAAAAAGCAAAGATTGGAAATAATTATTAGCAAACTTGGATTTTTTTTGATTTTCTATTCAAAACTGGCATAAAGCGTTCTCTTTCTAGTATCACGGCCATCTGTCTCATGGTTGGGGATAATAAGCACCAGCAATCAAATCTCAAACTAGCTGCCAAAAAGACATCTTGGACGTACTGCCAACTGACCAAAGCAATTCTTAGTACGATGCAGTACAATAGTTTTTCCTAGTCTCAAGAGAAACAAAGAATTGTAATCCTGTACAGCTACTTATTGTATCAGAAATTCACTCATTTTCTATAATATGTATTACCTATATTGACAACTATCCTCTACTTATGTTTAAACTTTGGAGAATGCATGGCTTGAGATCTGCAAAGTCTGCAAGTGGAATAAGTTAGCAGTACTTGTCATCTGTAACCTCTCCTCTTGCCAGAAGGTCAGAGACAACAAATAGTACATCTTCCCCTCTTTCCACTTGAAGCTGGAAGCTTTAAGCACGTATTGAAACAAAGCAGGTTAGCGGTATCGCTGCAAACCTCTTCAGCGCCCTTTGTTGGTCTAAAATTTAATCCTACAAGTCAAGCACATGAATAGGTTTTTAAATACATATCAAAATCTATGAACCACAAAGGCTTACCATCACACTTGATAAAAATGACACTGGGAAAAACAGTATAAATTGAGTAACTTGCAATTTTCCTGACTTATGTGCTTAACTGTGCTACAATGTCATGCACGTTTTGAAGTACATTAAAAGGAATGTCTTCCTATTTTACAAGCAATACAGTTGACCTTGGAGGCATGGAATACTGAGGTAGACGTGGAACGCTAGCCTCTGTCTCTACTTGCCTGTATCAACTTTCTTGCTATTACAGGATAGTTATACAACTGTTATCTCTAAAAGTCTTTATCTTTAGCCATTAGTGCCATACGCTGAATTCTGCACATATTTGACCAAGCACCAGATTCTGTTCTCCGTGAGGCAGGTATTGTTTACTGAGTGGGTCTGACAGGATTTTTTTCTTCTCTTTGAACGACTGGGCAACGTTTGTAAACCAAAACACAAACTATACCAAAGCCAAAACACAAACTACAGGTATAGAAACGAGAATTTTAAAACAGTCCCACTATATATCTGCCTTACCTAATTCTGTGATGAACATCTCGGTAGGCTTAAGTTCTCTAGTGGCTACTGCAGTTGCCTGCGCATCCATTTTTCCCCTCAAACAGCTCTGTGACAACTACTTCTGTCAACTCTTGCCTTTCTCATTTCCCCTGAGAAAGTGCTACTGTGTTTTCACCCAGCAACTTATCTTTTCCTGTAATTTTTGCTTTGCTAACTTAAGAGCAGCGGTTTGGCTCTCTGAGAGGTTTCGTTTGTCCAGTTGTGTCTACCACTGTCTTGTAACAACAGTCCAGCATTTGCAGACCATGCATTTACTGTTAACGGGGTCTCTTTCCAATCAGCTCTGTTCATTTAACTGAGTAAATCATGCATGCCATGCAGCAATTATTACAGCCATTACATCTGGTCCTAACCCTCTAATGTGCTTGTCAGGTTGCTCTTGAAAAGAACAAAATCATTCATAAATACAAACACGCATCTGCCTAGCCCAAACCGCACAGTTCTCTTTGAACTGTTCTTTGTGTATGTTAGGTTGGACAGGGAACTAGCTAGGCTAAACACTACAATCATTACAACGTTTTCAACTTCAGAAAAAGTCACTTCTGTAAATTAATACTTATTTACACAAAGCTTATGAAATATTACCCTTATATTGACATATATCAACTATGATCTACTTAGGGTGACTGTTTACCTGAGCACTTTTTTTAAAGACAGAATTGTCCTTCTGATTTACATTCCATTTTTCTATCAATAACCTATTAAAAACAAAAAACAAAAAATTACAGCAGCTTTTCATAGAGACATGTAATAGCTATATATCTCTCTCTGATTAGCCATGCCTTTGTGTAACAGAAAGCCTTATCATTGTCGAGGTATAATGAATTGTAAAGCTCTTCCCAAACACCTCAGCCAGCTATTACCATTGAAGCAGCTGGCACCTTCTGGCTCTGGGCCGGCAGTTAGGAAGCATAACACTGAAGGAACATAACGATCAACACAATTTAACTGTCCTTCCCTCCAGTTCTACGCTGCTATCGGAGCTGGCTCTGAGTGAGTGATACCAGAACCAGCAGGGAATGATGTGCCACCTGAGCCAGTTCCATCCACTGAGACACAGATGGAGCACAGTGCTGTCATGACTGTGCTGCTCCCAGGGACTGACTTAGCTCCTTTGGAGACAGCGGGGATACCTCTGCCTGGCACTGCATAGCATCGTTATCTGTTATATAACTGTTAACAGAAAAGGGAGAAAAATTTCATGTCAAGAGAGGATGCCAAAGAGGAGATGAAGAAGAGGAAAGAAAGGGATACACACCTGAGGAGTCTTTGGCAGAGCATGCTAACTCTACCTGGAGAAGGTTAACAGAAGACTGCAGTAAAGAATGAAAGAGAGGGAGACACAAGACAGATTCTGGTAGGTGGATGACATTACGGGGAAAAGAAAAAGATTAAGAGTCAAAGAAGAAAGGGAAGCAAAAAGTGACTGAGATCGAGAGCTGACATTTTCTGAGAGGAGAATGATTTTGTCAGATGCTCTGGTAAATCAGGAAACATAAGAGTGAACAGGAAGGCTTAGGATCTGCTCAGAAAAAGGTTATTAAAAACTTTCTTAATTTCAGTCATGTTGACGAAACAAACATTTTACAGGTCATTAGAGGCAAAGAGAAAGGGAAATGGATGGTAACTGGAAAAATAGATGGTTTGAGAACAGAAGAAAGATCTGACGTTATTGCATGCAGAGAACATAATTCCAGCAGAAAATATCCATTTTCCATATCTGATGATTCAGTTAGAGAAATCAGGCTGAGACAGGACAGAAGGAGCCCATGCAAATTTTAGAAAATAAAAATAATCTGTATTTCATAGTAAGAGGTCAGACTAAAGGAAGAGGTATTAAAAAAGGACACTGCATGACATTAATGACAAGTCAGTTTTTAATAATATATAGGAAGAGAAATATAATTATTTGCAGATGACAGAAC